TTCTGAAATATAATTTTCCCAAATTTTCAGCACTTGCCTCTGATCTACTATTCTATTCCCCTGGGAGTCTTCGATGCCAACATTTTGAATCCCATGATTCTCTTTCCATCCTAGTTCTTTTGTCTTCGTGTACATCAAATCATAACGTCCTGTTCTTTGAAATTCTATAATCTCATTACATATCTTCTCAAGATATTCCTTTTTGGCCCTGTCTGTGGCTCTTTTCAATTCATTCCTCAGTCTCCTGTATTTACTCCTGCCTTCTTCATTGTTGACATTCTTCCATTTCCTTCACTTCTCCATTTTACTCATCATCTCCTGTGTAACCCATGGTTTTCTTGCTATCTTTTCAACTTTACCAACCCAATCACTGTTAGTATCTAACATGCATTCTTTTATATTGTTCCACTGCGCTTCAGCATTTCCGCTTACACCTTCAAATGCACCCAGTTTCTCTTCTAGAGTCTCTTGCACGCTTTGTCTTTGAGCATATAACTTCTCCAAGTCCCATCTAGGTCTGCGCTTTTGGAATCTTATAATTTTCTTCAATCTGGTTCGAAACTTGGCAACCAGCAAGTTGTGGTCAGAGTCAATATCTGCCCCAGGAAACATCTTCACATCCTTCACACTGTTTCTGAATCGATGTTTCACAAGGATGTAGTTCAGCTGATGCCTCCTCCAATCCCCAGGTGCCTTCCATGTGTAAATTCTTCTCTTTGGCTTCTTGAACAAAGTGTTGGTGACAATCAGTCCATTTCATTCACAAAAGTCAATAAGCATTTGACCCCTGTGATTCCGTCTTCCTAGTCCATGTGATCCAACAATATTCTGATATGGTTCATCTCCAACAATGCTATTCCAGTCTTCCAATATGATGCTGTTTGTGTCATCTCTTCCATCTTCCTGAAGAATTTCTTCGATTGTGTCATACACTTTTTCCACTTCATCATCTTCATTCTCTGATGTTGGCATGTACACTTGCATAATCAGTATATCTACCGGTTCATAAGCACTAAAAATATGCTAGACAGCAGAGTATGTAGAGATGCAATCGGCTTATCTGAGCTGACTTTAAACCTACAGTGTCTGATTTGTAACAGTTGACAAGAAGGACTGGAATGGGATGAGCATATGCACTTGTAGGACATATCAGTTCCGAGAGATGTAGCAGATGAATATGTGAGATATATGCCTCCCAATAGGCATGAAGCAGTTAACACTGAATAAGTGCAATAAATCACATACATTTACATTGAGGATACAGTAGCTCATTTGATTTGTATAAATATAGAATTATGCATAATCTGAGATTCAAATTCTGTGGAGCAGAGCCCTTGTTGAGAAGCTGGTATTTATTCAGTTAGTCAAGAAAATATCCACCTCTTCAGTTCATAACCATGTTCACAAGAGCTTATCAGCGGGCTGTATCGTAAACCAGGTTAATTCAATCAATAACTTCAATTTCTCTTTCCTTAAGATCCATGCAAATAAGATTCTCCTATGTATGCCTATGTCTCCAAGTGGTCTCCTCCCATCAAGCTTTAACTAAAGGTTTGTATGCATGAATCATCCCTCCCATTCATGTTACATGTCTGATACCTCATATCTTCCTTGATTTGATCACTCTAATAATAATGTCTGATAGAGGGTATAGTATATTGTCACATATGAGGTGTTTGCATGACTATAATTGGCTTTATTGGCACTTCTTTACAATTACAATCAATTATGGCAGCTCACAATGACTCTCTAAGACTCGCTGCATTCCTTACTGGACCACAAGTGTCTTCTCTTCCAACTGTGATTGACTTGGTTTTGATTTACAAATCAGCCATTTCTTCAGCTTCCTTTGTCTGGTGGTTAGATAAATGCCGAATGACAGATCACACTGATCACTCTCACAAATAAACTAACTTCCAGGTGACCCAAATATAGATCACCACCTCCAACAGTTCATGTTAATCTGTTTTTCTGTTTCCGCGAAATGTGCTTACTGAACCATTGCCCAGCAATGCATTATTCTATGTCTCTTTATTGCAGCAGGAATATGTGTTTGGCGAGCTGTTGGCTAGCAGTGGACTTCCACCCTGACTATACTATTCTGGCTTTCAGGCGTCATGTCACAGTATGAATCTCCTAGGCCCATATGTTCGCCTCAGCACCTTGTTCTCAAATCCAATCAGCCTGTATTATCTTGGGGAAAAAGACAAAGTTTCATGTCCATATAAAACAATGTGTAAAACTGTAGGTTTATGTATTTTATTCTTTAAGTCTAAGACTCATTTGCTAATATTTTAGGCAATTTCTGTTTGTTACTTTTAATCCATTTTCGTCTTGCAGTGCAGTGAAAGTTCGACATTAAATTTTGTTTGGCAGTGGGCCACAATGATCAAGATGGCTTCTGTGATCTAATATTCTGGAGACAAAAATTTTGGCAGTGTAGCTGAGACATGCGGATATATTGTATATTTTGTAATATGTATCTGGAATTAATCAGCATGTAAGGCACATCTAGTTCATTGACTGGAACTTATGGTGATGCTGATGTAATAAGAGAAATGTCTTGAGAGCAGTTGAAAATCTGTTGACTGATAAGGCAGTGGTCTATTCCAAGGAGGTAGACAGTTGCTAATAACATGTATCATTGCTTTCAGATTCTTTATGAGATTGGAGGTAGCAAAGCTGAAGTTGTGAATGTCAGTACCATGACAGCTCTGACATTCTGTCTTCCTTTTCATGTTAGCTCCATAAATTTACCTTCCATTGATAAATGGCTCATAGAAGATACTGCAAGCAAGTAAGTATGAGATGTTATGTAAATATTGAAGTTAAATAATACGAGGGTCGTACTGAAAGTCAAGAGCAACAATTTTTTGTAAAGTAACATGCTTTATTATTGACAAACCAAATACACCACCTCAATCTACAGACCTTTCTTTATTTTTCCACATAATCGCCACTTCTTTGTACACATTTCCCCCAGTGTTCTGGGAGTTTGAAAATTCCCCTTGTGTAAAATTCCATTCCAGCCATCCGAAGACACTGATGCACTGCTTTCTGAATTGCCTCCCTTGTCTCAAAACGTTGTCCACACAGCTGATCCTTCACAAATCCGAAAAGAGGGTGCCAGATCATGGCTATAGGAAGGGTGTGGAAGAACTTCCCACCACATCTTTGCAATTGCTTCCAATGTGAGGCGAGCAGCGTGGGGGCGAGCATTGTCATGCGGGATGATGATGTTTTGTCCCAGACGTTTATCATGCAATGCACGACGGAGCTTGTGCAGCATCTGGACATAACGAGCAGCATTGATGGTTTGCCCAGGTTCCAGGAATTCGGTCAGAATAAACCCCTCTGAATCCCAAAAGACTGTGCCCATCACCTTCACAGCTGATGGCACTGTCTTTGCCTTCTTTTTTTATGGAGAATGAAAATGGTGCCATTCCATACTCTGCCGTTTCGTTTCAGGCTTGAAATGGTGAAACCAGCTTTCATCACCTGTCACAATACAGAGCAAAAAATCATCGCCTTCGAGTTGATAGCTCTGCAGCAGTTCTGAGGTGATGGCTTTTCGCTGACATTTGTGGTCTTCAGTCAATAACCACGGGACCCAATGAGCACAAACTTTCCTATAGCCCAAGCTTTCAATCATCTCCTGTATTGCACTGTGCCCTATTCCAAGTTTTTGGGCTATTGTGTCCACAGTCATATGCCTGTCATCCTGAATGATCTCATTCACTCTTTCCTTGTTGCGTTCAGACAAGGCTGTTCGAGGACGACCGCTCCGAGACTCATCTTCAATGCTGGTGTTCCCATCTTTAAAATATTTCACCTATCTTTGAAAACCGCTTGCACCCATGCGCGCACACTTCCATAAGCACGCTGAAGTCTCTGGTGAATTTCTGCACCAGGGATTTCCTCTTTCACAAGAAATTCGATGACAGCACACTGGCGAAACAACATCATTGTCGGCCATTTTGTTAGGAGTGATACTGGTCACGTGATGCAAGCTATTGACATCACAAGACACTCAAGGTTAACACAACAGCTGGTTCCACCTACCGCCATACTCATGACTTTCGGTATGACCTACGTATTTCAGACTTTGGCATACCTCAGGTTAGTCACCAGCTTCTCACCATGGAGGCCTGGGTTTAATTCCAAGGCAGTCCATGCAGAATTTTTGGTGGACAAAGTGACACTGGGCAGATTTCTCTTTAAGTATTTTGGATTTTCACTGTCAATCATCATTCCACCAATGTTCCATTCTCTCAGTAATGTTATATTTTAGCGTCCTCTTGCGCTGACTCATGTCCATGATTTATGCTGTCTTACAGTGCATACACTTTTTCACCTTACTGCTCTCTTTTGCACTACATGTTTCAGCACTGATGTGCCATCTTCAGGTGCATTTTCTCTATGCACGTCTAACTACTGCATTGCATGCCCTGATGTCTTCATATTAAAATGACTAAAATATATATTCGTCATGTACAATAATAGATTTTAAATATTAAAACTTTTCACAGGAGCAAGACACAACAAAGAGCACAATACACACAATGTAGGAAGAGTGCTCCGACAGAGGAGGATTGGCGTGATTCGCGTGTTGAGATATGATGTAAGGATGACGAATTCTGAAAAGTTTTAATATTTAAAATCTATTATTGTACATGACGAATATATATTTTAGTCATTTTAATATGAAGACATCAGGGCATGCAATGCAGTAGTTAGACGTGCATAGAGAAAATGCACCTGAAGATGGCATATTAGTGCTGAAACATATAGTGCAAAAGAGAAGAGTAGGGTGAAAAAGTGTATGCACTGTAAGACGGTTAGCATAAATCATGGTTCCATTCTCTCATCTATGATCTGGGTGTGGTACAATAAGTCTGTTTATGGCTGCAGTACCATGGGACATGGTCTCACCGCACTTCACAAATAAAATGGATAAATAGATAATATTTCAGATTTTAAAAACAAAATGTCTCCCATTCTTTCTTTTATTTTTTATTGTGAAATTAATATTTTTAAGTTGGTTATTTAACAGAGCTGGCAGTTTCAGACTATATACTGTTGGTAATAACTAATTAATAATGAATGTAGAGCAATTGGTGTAATGAGTGCTGGAAGGGGAAACCAAAGTACTCAAAGAAAACCTGCCCCATTGCCACTTTGTCCACTACTAATCTCACATGACCTGACCTGGAATTGAACCCAGACCACCATGGTCAGAAGCCGATGACTAATCATCTGAGCTGTGGTTAGGCTGTAAATGAAAGGAACAGAATTTGCAAATATTTAGTCCTATTGCCACTGAATTGAAACAGTGTAACAAATACTGAGGTTGTTGTATCATGTAAAATAAAAACCATACTTGAAACGTATTCTAGTTACCAGGATTGTAGTTTTCTAGGATGTGACACCTTGCTCTGTGGTACGTAGATGCATTTCAGAGGAATATTCTCCCTCCATATTTAGGGCTGGCAGCACATTCACCCAAAACATTTATACCTGTTTACCATACTACAAAGTGTCACTTCCCAAAAGTCCAAAATGTTAATATTCACTGCTGTAGGAATCTTAGATCTCATATTGATATTGCCACCTAACAATTTTCACCTATTCCCTTTTGTTGTGTGTGTTGTAATTCAGATTGTGGTATTCTGAGTTGTTACCAGCATTCTGCGTCATTACCAAGAAGCCCACACGTTGTGCACTTCCTGCCATGAAACCCTGAGAAGTAATATTGTAATTCTTCAAAGCATTGTTCACGTTAAATGTCGTGTGCAGTTACAGTGAAAATGACAAAGTATGATGTACGAGTATATTTTATTATGTGCAGAAAACAAATTTCACAAGTTCTGAGGCGGTGTTAATACTCTTATTTGCTGGTGTATTAAACTCTTTATATAAACTGTAAATATAAAAAATGTGGAGAATACTGCATGGCTGTTGACATCTCTTAAAACTGTGGAATTCATAACAATTACCATAAGAAATCTGCGCTTAGTGTATGTCCTTATGACCATCAGATGCCTGTCAGTAGAGTCTTTTAACTTCTCAGTGATTAGCAATTTATGATGGTAACTTATGTAAAGACATGAATATTCAAATTAGAAGAACATCTCTGTTTCCTGATGAGACCTTGAGGAATGAGTTAAATAAGAACAGCTGTTGTGCTTCTCAGTAGCACTTCTCATTGCTTTACAGATTTCTGACCTTTCTCTGCAGAAGTTCCCAGCTTGCTTTTCAGAATTCTCAGAAATTCTACATTGCAAGTTATTTTTCATATTGGCTTTTGGCACAAGAGGAACACCTCCAGTGGGATCTTTTCATTTCAAAAACTATGAAGGATAATGAAACATCATTGATTCCTGACTTTGTTTTAGTCATTGTTGCTTGGCTTAAGGAAAAAAATACAAAATATAAGTAACAATTGTTGAAACTTATTTTGCCTTCACTGACTTCATAAGGACAATTCACACTAATTTAAACGCTTACAGAAGGTGAAGTATCCAGTAGGTTAATTACTATGAAATGTAATAGTGTTTGTAAGAGTGGGACCAGTAATTTATGACTAGAGAAATGTGTGAGATAAATCTGCAGCTTTTCATTTACTGTTACCAGATATTTGAACATTAGTACAATGCTTTTTGCAAGTGAACAGATACTTATTGCTAAATCTGAAGATGATCTGTATATTCATATTATGATATAAAACAGTGCTGCTTCTGAATATTCACTGGAAGAATTAAATTTATGTCATTCAGGGAAAAGGAACAAATGAAAAGTCAATTTTCTCTTAACAGCACATAGGACAAGTTTAGCTTTTAATTAGGCAGAATATCTTCTTTGCATATACAAAAAAACTTTCAAACCATCATTTGTCTCAAAGCTTACAAAATTCATATTTATGAGATACTTCATGGATTAACATTACAGTGTGTTAATGAAGCATGCACAGTAGACACTGGGGGAAGAAAATTATTATGAAATGAAACGTGTCTTGTGACATAGCCAGCAGGGTAAACCCTCTCAAGTAAAGAAATAATGACAGTTGCAGTGAAACCCCCATTTCATATATTTTTTTTTTTTTTGAAGCTGTATGTTTCAATTCTAACTAAGGAAATTTAATGTAAGTACTTCATCTTACATCTCAGGAGAAAATTCTTTCAAACTCAGTGACAGCATACATAACTTTCAGTGCAAGGGACATATGTAATTTGCAATATAATATATTAACTCTAGAATTACCAGTTATCCAAGTAACTGTCCACCATCTAAGGAACTACAGCTGATTCCATGAGCCACTTGCAGTATCATTTTAATGTGGCTTGCACTGTTTTGCTTAATCTTTGAGATGCACACTGACTGCTGTCGTCACTCTGACCAGGACCGGCAGTCATGTGTGTCTCAGTGCAATCACATTACAATGAAATTGTGAAAGGTTCATTAAATCAGTTACAGTTTTTTGGATGGTGGGTAGTTACTTGAATAAATCTAGTAATTCCAGAGATATATTACTTACTGTTTGCAACAGAAAGAACATATATTTCTCACTAGTGCACTGCTTGCTGTGTAGACTCTGCAACCTAAGAGTATATTTGTGCCATGCTGGGTTTAGGATTGTTATCTTTAAACATGATTGAATCTGTAGTATTTTATATGTTCTTGTGTTGACAGGAAGTATGTGCTATCAAAAGCCACTCCTACAGACCCATGTCCAAGTTTGCTACAGCCAATTGAAGACACGTGTAATACTTCCATGCTTGGATTTATTGGTGCTTGTGACTCTGAAAGTCTACCATTCGACATGCTTAGTGAAGCCCTTAGCCAAAAAATAAATGCTCCTAACCGTGTACTCTGTACTGACCATACATATGCTGCAATTTCTGTTGGCTTCCCTGAGTTAGACCAGACAGGAAATGAGCTGTATGTGTGGCCACGACAAGATAAACTTCCAGGGAACTCTGGAACTGCCATCATTCTTAGAGACTGCGGTCAGATTGTGCGTCCTGTAAGTTCATCTCAAGTGCCAAAAGAGCTGATCTCTTCAGAGAGTGTTCAGCCTGTTGTGTCAGGTTATTTGGAGATTACTGACCTGGTGAACCACAAGTTGCGCTACCTATCTGTACCGCAGTAAGTTACATGAATTGTGTTCATATTTGAATGCTGTATACTTGGTATTTAGAGTAGAACCTGTGGAGATGTCTGCAAGGATGAGAATATTCTGTTTAAAAGATTTATCCCTTATATGATAAGTTTTACCATATTCATGAAATCCTCATAATGTAACATATTTTAATATTACAGAAAGGGAAATTATTTCTGTAAGATGTTTTTGGTATAAAAACTGATGCCTACTTTCCTCCAGTGCACCTATCTTATATGCAACATGTGATTAATTTTTCAAATATAACATAAAATGTTTAAATTGTTGCTACAGCAACACTTTTCAACCCTTAGAGATATGAAGAATAACATTATCCCAGATGTGGGAGCGTATGGTCTGGTAGAAGTATAGTGACATTTCGGAAGAATGTATCGCTTCCTCTTCAGGGTCAAAGAGTAAGAATAGCAAGCAAGTAGACAAACAGCAAGCACTCTGCATGATGCTTGGCTGACTCTTTAACCCTGAAGATAGAGGAAGTATGTTCCTCCAAAACGTCAGTTCCGCACTAACTCTGTAGACACGTCAGTACCAAAAACCACATGGTCCACTGGTTATCATGACATATATAATTCAGTTAGCCATTGTCTATAATACACGTATATTTGAATTTCCCATATGTATTTTCATGCATCAGGCCAATTGCTGTCTCACCTGTTACTTCATGGCTGTACTCAAGTTCACAGCTGCCCATGTACCTTGCAGCAGGCAGCAATCAGGGCCTAGTGACTGTGGATGCTGGTGGCTGCATCAGACTTTGGGAGACATCTCTGTTTAGTTTAGAAAAATCTCTATCGGAATGGAGGCAAATGATTGGTTCTGGTATGTAATGTAACTTACATAAATTCACTTTGTTATATTTCCCATGCTCAGTCATTATGACCAGTCTGTCATAACTGTAAAGGTAAAGTTGTCCCTGTGCTTAACTAATTAAGCACTACACCATGAAGGCATATGGGGGAATGGATGTATAGATCCACATTTTCTTGACCTCAGCAATAGTTGGAAGTGAGTGGTCAGCTTGACGTCCTGGCTGCTTTACCCCTGGGGAAAGAGCCTCTGGTACCCATTGGATAGGAGGCTGGGCAGCCCTCAGAGCCAGTCTGGATGACATGGAAAAGAGAAAATTCTTAATCCTACCAGGACTCAAACTCCAGCCAATAACCAGTCGCTATGGTATCCCGGCTCCTGCTGTAACTCTTAGCACATTAAAATGGAAGTGTATTCATTAATTCATTTATTCACATTCCATAAAATCCTTACAAGGTTGATAAAACCAATAGATATAGAAATTGTCCAGAAATATAAACTCATCTTGCTTAGAAATCAAGCAGTTGTCAAAATAACAAGTTTATAGTATACAAGATTTAAATCATACATAAAAATTTATCTTGAAAATAATAAGTAAGTCATTGACAATTTTAAGGTAAAAAATTCAGTCCAAATATTATTTACTAATCATGCTTATACAATACAACAGTTATTTAAAAACCAGTTTATAATATAAGACAAGTTTAAAAGTTGAATAAAATTAGTCATGTTACAGTAACCAATTTACAATATAAGATAAAAGTAATAAAGAATACAAATACACTCAACCCTCAATTATCCAGGGGCAGAGAAACCAGTTTGCGGCTTAACCTGGGCTACCGGGGCTTTTTTGACGTTTATATGTTGTTTAATATTCATTCACTTTTGTTCCACGTGGTGAGTTGTAACACTATTTTTGCACTAGTGTGCACTGAGCTCTGCATTTTTTGGTCCCGTTATGCTAACACAGTGTTCTAGGGCAGGAGTGAAAGAATGCAAGGCTTTGTGGAAATTTTCAAGGACAGATACACTGCCCCAGTTAGTCTCTTTGTATTGATCTTCAAGTGCGTTAGCAAAATGTCAGGGTGTAAAAGGAAGTGTGTTGTGTTAAGTATTCAACAGAAACTTGAAATTATCAATCAATTGGGAAAAGGAGGTGTAGTTAAACAATTAGCTATGCAATACGGTATTGGAGAACAAACTGTTCGTGATTTTATAAAACAAAAGAATCAATTAATTTCCTTTGCTTCGTCTTCTAATTCAAGCGGAATGAAGAAGAGAAAAACCATGAAAAAATCAACATGTGATGATCTTGACAAAGCAATGCTGATCTGGTTTAATCAACTAAGGGCACAGGGAACAACAACAACAGGAGCAGTTTGTGCTAAACAAACAATTTTTTTCCGAACACTTGAACTACAAGGAAGTTTTGATGCTTCTTCGGTTGGCTAACACGTTTCAAGCAGCATCATGGAATATGAGAAATTAGTATTCAAGGTGAGAAATTGTCAGGGGACTTGTCATCATCACTTCAATTTTGCACCAATTTTGATAGTTTCATGAAAAGTGAAAATCTGCTGCCAGAACAAATCTATAATGCCGATGAAACGGGTCTTTATTGGAAGTGCTTGCCAACCAGAACTTTGGCATTTCAAACTGAAAGACAGGCTCCAGGTCACAAATCCAGTAAGGAGAGATTGACAGCCTTGTGCTGTTCTAATGCATCAGGAACACACAAACTAACACCAGTAGTTATCGGCAAAACGAAAAGACCACACTCTTTTAAAGGAACAGTAGCTTCAAGTGTGCCTATCCATTATTTTAACCAGCAAGGAGCTTGGATGAATAGAGCGATATTTAAAGAATTGTTTGATTTTAAATTTGTGCCTCAAGTTTATGACCATCTAAAATCCCAAGGCCTACCTGAGAAAGCTGTGCTCCTCATTGACAATGCGCCCTCACATCCTAACAAAAGTCTCCTGAGGTCAGATGATTGAAATATTTTTGTGAAATGTTTTCCTCCTAATGTTACCACACTTATCCAACCAATGGATCAAGGAGTTATCTCAAGTATGAAGAGAATCTACAGATCAAATTTGCTACAAAAGTACATCGATGAAGGCAATGATCTGACATGTTTCTGTAAGTCTTTTTCAATGTTAGATGCCATATACGAGATTTCAACAGCGTGGGATACAGTTAAGCCACCTGTATTGAAAAATTCATGGAAGAAACTGATGCCTTTCATCACTAAAGTGAGAATGAGGAAGAGGTGGACAGTGCTGCTAGTAAGAAAATATCACACGGTGCTGCTCTTAATCATTTGGAATTCTTACTAGACTTTCTTGAGAGTGAAGAGAACAATTTATTAAGTGAAGAGCTAATATTACATAGGCTTTGTATGGATATCCGTAAAAAGGAAAATGCCGCGAAAAAGCAAACGACAATATTAAATTTTTTTAAGTGTTAAGTGTGAATATTCGTAAAAAGTGTTGGATGTTGTTGAACACTGATTGAAATAACTAATTCATACTTCAGTGTAATATAAATAAAGTATTAAATAGACCATGAGATGACATAAAAATGAGGTTGAATAAATTTAAATACAGGTAGGCCTATAGTATTATGAAGGTACAGTATTACAGTACTACTTTTAATAAAATTTGTCTTAACCGGGTTTTCAATTAATCGTGATTTCCATCCCTACCATTATCCCAGATAATCAAGAGTTGAGTGTAATAATATTTACAAGTTTAAAACGGTATAATCAAATAAGATCTGGTATAACAGATAATTGAAGTTATTTCCAAAAAAGCTTAGGCAACTAACATATTGTTTAACATTTCAATATAATATAATTATACAAGCATTATCTCATAAAAAATTCTTCCAATATATAAGGAGAACTGAAATACAAAAATTCCTTTAAATTGCCCTTAAACCTTTCTTTAATCATTAGTGTTGATTTTTTTTGTGTCATCCTTACATATCACTTAACAGCCATATTGGATGAGAAGAAACGTTTTATTATAATACAAAACAAAAACAAATGAATATAGATCACTATTACCAACTTGAACATTTTTACATTACTAGATTCTCAACATTCCTCCTTAATTTCAAAATGTTATCAACATTATTAGCTGTTTTACAAAGTTAAATTGAATAACACCTAGTAATTTCAAAATTAATACATGTAATTAAAATTTTCTCAGTCTTATCAAAATCAGAGTTATTTCTTCTTAAATATAATGTCTCTAAACTTGGTAAATTTCTCTGGTGATAGCGGTTTTGTTAAAATGTCTGCCACCTGAGTTTCAGTGTTACAATATTTGATTGAGAACAGTTTCTATTTCAATTGTACACTTATGTAGTGATACCTAACATCTATGTGCTTACTCCTATGCGTTACTTGTCCAGATTCTATTAGCTTCATTGCAGTCTGATTGTCGACACACAGTTCAGCTTCTGCCCTTTCTCCTGTCAACTCCTCTATCAGCGTCTTTAGATATTTCAATTCTTGACAGCACTCAGCTGCTGCAATATTTTTGGCCTCAGTGGTTGATGATGCAACAATATTCTGTTTCCTAGAGCACCATGATATTGGGCCCCCTGACATCATAATTACATATCCCGTTACACTCTTAATATCCTTTACATCCCCTGCATAATCAGCATCACTAAATGCTTCCAGTTTCACAGTTTCGGAGTCAGATGAGGTATATTTTATTCCTGAATCTTGTGTACCTTTCACATACCTAAGGGTCCTTTTCACATTCTGAACAGCTATTTCATCAGGATTTTCCAAGGTTCGACTTTCCACATTTACAGCGAATGCCCTTCCTACAGCTTCTCTGTAAGGAAATCTTATGTCATTTTCTCCTTCGTCATTTGTTGGTGGGGTCAGGCCATGGGTGTTTTCATTCTCGACTTTCTTGCATGTTCTATTTTTCAAACATTTGGCTTGCATGGTTGGTTTGAGAGATATGTATCCCATCTGGTTGCCTCTCAATTTGTATTCCTAAATAAACTTTTGGATTTGTGGTCTTTGTTATCTGGAATTCCTGAATCTCATGTACCTTTCACATACCTAAGAGTCCTTTTCACATTCTGAACAGCTATTTTGTCGGGATTTTCCAATGTTCAACTTTCCACATTTACAGCAAATGCCATATATAGCAAGCTTCCTACAGCTTCTCTGTAAGGAAATATTATGTCATTTTCTCCTTCGTCATTTGTTGGTGGGGTCATGGCCATGGGTGTTTTCATTTCTCGACTTTCTTGCATTTTCTATTTTTCCAACATTTTGCTTGCATGGTTGGTTTGAGAGATATGTATCCCATCTGGTTGCCTCTCAATTTGTATTCCTAAATAAACTTTTGGATTTGTGGTCTTTATTATCTGGAACTGATTTTCCAGTTTCAGCAGAATTTCCTCTATTTGTCTTCATCCTCTCCCATGATTATCCCGTCATCCACATGAATGGCCATGAACAAACTATTGGCACCATTCTTAAAAATGCATTGGTCAGTTTTAGTTGGTTTAGACCTCCTTCTTTTAGAAAGGTTGTCAACTTCTTGCTCCGTTGCGATGGTGCTTGTCTTAGGCCACATAATGCCTTTTACAGGAGACATGTCTTGCCAGTGTTCTTATATGCTTCTGGTATCTCCATGTAGTTTTCCTCCTCAAGGTCTCCATACAGGAAGGCAGTCTTCACATCAAAGGTTTGCATGTTCATATTCTTACATGCTGCTATGGCAAACAGTACTCTAAGAGAATTCATGTCAACAACTGGGCTAAAGGTATCCTTGAAATCTATTTCCCCTTCCTTTTGTTGACATCCTCTCACAACCAGTCTGGCTTTGTGTCTTCCATCATCCTTTATTTTGAAATCCCATTTACTGGTCAGAATTTTCTTGCCCATTGCTTTCTCTCTGTTTATATATATCCAACTTTTGTTTTGGTAGAGCGAATCCTTTTCCTCTTTAATGGCTTTCTTCCACTTCTCGCTG